ATGCATCAGTTCCTGTGCTATTTCCATCACTGAGGTCTGTTTGCACGTGAAATTCAGCTTCACGGGAGGAGATAATCAAGACAAATAGTATGGCTTTATTTTTTAAAAGGGGTGGATAATTTCATGGCAGCTTACAACGTTGGTAACTGGGCAAGCTAAGATAATAAGGCTAATCAAATCTCATGCTCCACAGCACTAATTCCCTGTGGGGTCAGGAAAAATCTTTCTACTATATACAATACTATACAATTAGCAAGGTTATTATTGGGGAGCAGAAATACAGCCTTCTAAAGCAACAACCTGTAATCATTACCAGAGAACAGAGGTTGCACTTGGGCAGATAGAGAAAATAGCATTATTTTCTATATGCCACTTCTGCTTCACTTTGCTGTCAGATCCACTGTTTTAGAATTACAGTACCTTATTTGCTAAAAAATAATAATAATAATAATATTTTCCCTGAACATGATTACCTAAATTCATTACCGCCTGGAATCTGTCATAAGCTCTTCCACCTGTCACTATTAGCCCAGTTAAAAAATATCTGGCACCGAATGGTCACAATAATGGTATTGATTAAGGTACTGCAGGTTGCAACTGCACATTGCCCTCTGGTAAGGTCACTACTGTCACAGAATTTGCTTCTCAGCAGTGGATTGGGCAGAATGACACAGTACCAAATGATGATCAGCTCTTAGCTAGAAGCTGAAATAACATGTTTGGAATATTTCGTTTTGGAAGTTCTACTAATTTTCTTTAATTGCCTGAACATATTGTTGTAGGTGTTCTGTCTGTATACTTGAATTTTATTTTCATTCAGTGTGTGCGTCAGAGAATTTATATTAGTGGCAATTGAAAATATTTTGCTATTTTTTTCTGCAAAATTTACAATCTGCATGTGAATGTGATACTCTTTACAAGTTTTCCTTTTTTAATTTTTTTTATTTCTTACAAGACAGAGGAAAGCCTATACTGAAAGCTTTCCTTCTACGAGCTATCCCTCAGACACAATGAGTAGACATTTTTTTAACCCCTTACCTCACATAGATTTATTTTAAAAGTATTAACTGTTCTCAGATGACTTGTTCTTTGCTCCTCTGGACAGCATATGTGCCTTCTTGACTCTCAACCCCACACACTGTTCAGGGGGAAAAAAAAAAAGAATACAAGGAAGTCTAAAAATCTAAGAGGAATAACTCAAATTAATAATAACTCAAAATAACTCAAAGAATTTCAAGCTTTCTTCATAGATGCAAAAGTGATGATTTTATTTAGGTGAAAAACATTCAGTCTCTTTTTTTTCCCTTGACTGCATGGCCATGAGCTGTATGTAGAAGGCTCAACTAAAAGAGATACAAATAAATGGATAAATAAATAAATAAAGTTTATGTTTACTTTTTGGATCTCAGAAACAGGTTCAGTAAAGGATCTGCTATCTACAGACTAAAAAATCCCCAGTACAGGACCAAGCACAAAAAAATCCACAGAACTTGAAGAATAAAAGCGTAGGGAAGTTGCTGAATAGAGTACATGATTTAGTTAGAACAGGCACAGCTAAGTCTGACGTAGTTGGTACATTCTTCCCTTTGTTCTTCACCAACAAGGTCTCCCAGACCTCTGTGAAAGGAGGAGAAGTACTAGAAATGCATGAAGATTACAACAGGATTATTTGCAAGCACATAGCTCATATAGTTCCATGGAATCAGATGGTTTCTCTGGGAGAGCTGAGAGCTTGCTGATATCTTTATAATGCTGCTGTCTGCCATCTTTGAAAAGCTGTAGGGTTCAGAGGACGTCCCCAACAAGTGGAGAAAGACAAACATTGCACCTGTCCTCAAAAAAGGCCAACAGGATGATTTGGGAAGTGAATGTCAAGACTTCAGCAACACTTTAAAAGACTTCAGCAAGGTTTTTGACATTGTCTCCTATCATGGGCCGACAGGAACCTCATGAAAATCATCCAGGATGAAGACTGAGTCCTGCACCTGACACAGCCCTTGTGCCAGTCCAGGCTGGGATGTGTCCGAGTGGAACAGTTCTGCTGAAAGGAGAGTGTTGGTAGACAGCAAGCTGAACCGGGGGTGTTCTCCGGCAGTGAAGATCTACAGCAAGAGGAAGTCTGTGGATTAATACCTCCCTCTGCTTGGCACTTGTTAGACAACAGCTAAACAGTGCTTCCAGTCTTGGGTCCCCAGTACAGAAAGACAGTTTATAAACTGGAGAGAGTTCAGCAGGGGGCTGGCAAGACGACTGGGGGCTGGAGCACTTGGCTATTGCAGAAAGGCTGAGGAAAGCGGGCTTGTTCAGCCTCAGAAAGTCTGGCTTTGAGAGGGACATCTCAAAGCCTGGCTTTACCTGTGAGGAGGTTATCAGGAAGACAGAGCAGGGTTCCTCAGTGGCCTGTGACTGGAGGATGAAAGACAAAGGACCAAAATGGAAGCAAGAGAAATCCAGGCTTTAGATACAGAAAACCTTCTTCATTGTTACAAACTAGAGGAAGCAGTTGCCAAGAGAAATTTTTCAGTCTCCATTCAGGGAGGTTTTTCGTACTCAGCTGGATGAAGCCCTTAACAACCTTGTGCACTCTTGTAGCTGTCCCTTTGAACATGACTAGAGACCTTGTGGGATCCTTTCACACCCGAGTTACTCAGTAATCCAATGACTCAGTAAGTCCACCATGGAGAAAATTAGCTGTGTATGCAAAAGGAGAAGACAGTTCTGGCACATATGGTTTATCTAGCGACTTGATAAATATTAAACTATACTGAGAGCATGAATGAGAATCCAGGTTACAACTGCTCCTTTGTGCTGTAATATGTTGGCTGTAGTTCAGTATTCCCTCGTTTGCTCTCATTTTGGCCTCAGCAACCTTAGAGTCTTGGCTGTACACCTTCAGGAGGACTGTTTGCATGTATGGAAGTCTTTTATGGCCACCAGCAAGTTTCTGCTTTTTCCAGCTCTTCAAGTTTTCCTTTTTTGATATCTCCTTCCTACAGAAGGAGGTCCACAGGGTGAAAGAGATGCCACAGAAAAATTCTGCAAATAATGCTTGACAGGTCTCTTGACAATGTCAGTAGTACTCATATCTGAAAATAATTTTCTTTAAAGAATGCAGAAATTCCCCTTGCTTGTCATCCTGTCTTCAGTTATTCACAAAACTGAAATTTCAAAAAAAAAAAAAAAAAAAAGGAAATACAAATATTCTCATAGCCGCCAAAGTTTCCTTTATGTTGTTAAAGTGATGTCATTCACACTTACTTCAGAGTTCTCTTACACTACATGATGGCTGTAAAGCAGCCTTGGTTTGAAAAAAAAAAAAATTAAGTGCCAAGAAATCTTTGTCATATTCAATAAAATCGGAGTACCAATACAGGAAATTTTAATTAAAAATGTCAAGGAAACTCAAGGGAATCAAATCATTTGTGAAGCTGAGCATATCAGAAAAGCCATGGCTTCGTGGCCTACATGAGTAGACTGAGTTCATTTCCTAGCAGTGTTCTCCACTTTATAAAAATTATTGTCAAAGGGACTACGTACCCTCATGCTTCAAGTTAAAATGAATAGTTAGCTGTGGTCGAGAAGAACTATCCCTTACAGCAGAAAAACAAGGAGTACTGGCAGCTTCAGACTGCAAAGCTCTTTGCTCCTTTCTCAAACTATTTGCCTGCACATCTTTTCAAGATGAAGTACCCTGCTGTTCGTATCTTCAGCTCAATGGGATACCAGCAAAAAAACTGTGTTTCTAGTGAAAATCATGTAGAATATAATCACTGTCAGTAGCAAGCATTACTGACTGTTCCCTGCTCTCTGCCCTGGCGAAGTCATTGAAATAAACTCACAGAATCTGGCAAAGATGACATCAGCATTGGAGGACTATTCTCTGCCTGATGAGGAAATAAAGAAGAAATGGAGAAGACAAAATATGGAGTGATAAAAGGCATGCAGTTTGGAAAGAAGAACAAAGGTGAAGAGAAATGCTGATAGGTACTTTACTTTTTTAGAGATAATTAATTTTATTAGTAACATATTTACAGACATTTTAGACAAGTTTAATGTCATGGGAAGAGTAATTAAGAAATCATTCTAGTAATATTTATCTTATAGTACTCCTTGGTTCCTTTCATTCTAATATCCATATGTTTTAAGACTGTAATATGTAGTCCTAAATTTGAGTCCATTTGTCATAAAACTACTCGAAGGAAATCCAATTATGGCCACTGAAGAAAACCAAGCATTAAATAAAAAAAAAAAAATTAAAATCCTTAAAAATTGATTGTAGGCACATGCAATACAATATTTCCATTTAAAGTCTAATTATACTGCAGTGGCTTAAACAAACCCCCAAACTGTACTTTCTGAAGTTAATTTCTTTCACAAAATTACTTAACATTTCAGAAAAGTTGGCTCATAGGACTAATGGCATCTTTTTGTTCTGTGTTTTATGTCTAGATCCTAGCTTCAACTTCAGCTACGAAGCACGTTTCGGAAGGCCAGGAAAGAACTGGGCCTTCTGCACCCATTTGTTCAGTTTCTTCTGTGGCAAATGATGATTACTAAGTAGATATACCAAGCTATACAATTCATCCATGGGAATTATGAACAAAGCTCTCATTTCTTTTACTTCAGACAAATTTCTGGCAAATAAGACAGCCGACAATAAAGCTTACTAAACATGGGTATCACCTGCCAAAGGAGAAATACAAACCGGTTAGTTTTCCTCCTTGCAGTACAACAATGGTTTCAGGGCTGAATTTCTGGTTATTGGTTAAATACTGCCATGTAAGATACTATTTTTTCAGACTACCTTGGAGGTGTAATAGAATTTCCACCATTGTTAGACTTTGAGAACGGTGTCACAGGAATGGCCCATCCTGCCTTGAAGCAGGGACATGCACTATTTGACTTGTGAGGGCCTCTGCATTCCTATTTTTTTGTCCTTTATGGAGAATATTTTATAAACCGAACAGATATTATATTTATCCAGTGTTCTACCTAGCACTGGATTATTAACGTATCAGCTAGGATCTTTTACACAAAGTAATTAAATATTTTAAAGAAGCTGCAGTTGAAGAAGAATCTATCATTTTCTTATGGTATTTATAAACCATGTATCTTTTTCCTTTTCACGTTTATTATGTTTCTTTACATTTCATCTCCACAAAGCAAGGATTATCTTCATTCTTTGTCTGAAACGAACAGTACCTATTCTGTTAAAACTCTACTTGTTGGTCGCTAGGCACTTCCATAAATAAAACTGCTAAAAATAGTAAATTATGCTTCTTAGTTTTTTGCAACACTATGTAATGGCCCTTTTTTGTTGTTGTTGTTTTGTTTTTACTCTAGATTTTATCAGACTGTCTCTTTGGTGTTTCATTACCTTTTTGTGCCTTTCAAAAGCCATGTATCCACCACACTGCTTCCTTCAACACCTTCAATATTTCACTAAAAAAAAAAAAAGGTGTAAAGCTGGGGAATTTTTCTAGAGCAAAGTTAGAAGAAGCAAATGGTAGAAGTCTGAAATCTACAGCAGAGTTAATGCTATCAGACAAGGGTGGAAATAATTTTACTTTTTTGAACAGACTGCCGGTGGCTTTTAATATCCCTTCCTACCTGGATTTTCATTTCCTATTACAGAAATTATCAAGAAATTGAATACTTACTCAATCAGAATTCAAAGTTGAGAGCAGGCATGAGTAGTCTCCCATACTACTCAAAGCAAAGCCAGTGGTAACTGCCTACCACCTTGTTGCAGGTTGGGCTTTATCCTAAGAGAGACCAAATTACTTTATAAACTCATATACGTGTTATGCAGAGATACTATTTAGACCACCAATCAAATACTGGAATCTGGAGGGGGGAGGGGAAGGAAAGAGGACATGCCATTGATGTTTAACAGTGTACAGCTGTTTCAGGAAAATAAAAATAAAAATAAGAGGATGTAAAGAAACTATTCAGCTGCAGGTTGGATTAATGAAGGTGGCACACCAAATTTGGCCAGATCACGAGGCCACGTGGTTTCTTCTAGTCACAGTCAGGGATCAGGTTCAGATTTTGTATCCTCTTTAGATTCCTATCCATATCTGAAGAATGCAAACCAGTGCCTGAAGGCAGAGGACAAGTGACTTATAGCAAGGCTAGGCACTTCTACAATTCTGTAAATGCAAAGGCGTACATGGCCACGTGCTGTTTCTATATTATACAAGGTCAAAAGCACATCCTCCAAATGCAAGGCAATCAATTGCAAAATCGGGCTCCAAATGACAAACACTGAATTCCAGCATCAGCTATTTAAATAACTTGAAATGTGTGCTTATCAGTTGTGACCCAAGGTTTCTGTTCTTTCCCCAGTGGTGAAAGCTGACCTCTGACAATTCCAGCTCCTTCACAGGGAGCAACACCTGAATTCTTCACGACAACAGCTTTGTGAGTAAGGCCTACCTTACAAAAAAAGGTATGCCAAATCATCACAGGGGTATGCCATAAGTTGTCCTTCCAGAGTTAGAGAATTGTTTCAGTGTAATACTGAAAGGCAATGTCGAGTTGGCAGTCCCTACTGTGGATCTATCCCGTTGCTGGGATGTGCAGCTGTCTGCTCTCTTCCACTCACAGAAACAGAAGGGAACATATGGTTTAGTATATCTATCTTCTGTGTCATGACCTTTTTTCCCTTGTGTAACGGAAAAGGAGTGTTAAAAAATCCTATCCCTGTAGTGGTATATAAATCACCAAGTGCAAATTCACGACCCAAACATTTGAGGTTGGTTTTTATTGAGAAGAAATCTTAGCACAAAGGATATTATTTGTGATTATCACACTTCCAGTGTATTGGAGAAAATTGACACCTCTAAGAAATCACTATGGAGTGCAGTAGGAGCCCTTTACTTCCTTACTGCAATCTATTTCCCCCTAAATAAAAATATGAATTCATTGAAATGTATTCCATTAAAATGGTTGTTTATTGATAAATGCATTATTATAGCAATAACACACAGTAAGGCAAGTATTAATTGACCATTAGTACAGTTCTAGGGAAGATGAAGTTCCTCCACCTTGAGATTCTGGAGTAACACAAGGTGCATTTTAATAGGCTGTTTAAACATGGCATGTTGTGCCCTACTGCTGAAGCAATGCATTATGGAATTAAACAGGCTGCATTTCACTGAGAACATATTGACTGCTTGTAGCCTGAAAAATGAATGAGAACACTGTGTTCCTTACATGTTGGGAGAACCAGAAAATTGTGGCATTTCTCCTCAGTGGCACAGAACTTCATGGAAAGGTTTGAGTCATACTGGGTAAGAATCTGTTGCCTAAACTAAGGCGTTTTTGACACAGCAGGCAGCCTGCATGGTGTCCAGCTTTCTCTCCAGAAGGTGCCAGTCTCTTGCAGGTCTCTCTTTGCACTCACTGTCATTTCTATGAAGATGTCTTACGTACCTTATGCCATCTGAAGGACTTTAAATTCCTGCTTCTCAGCACCTGAATTGCACCACTGCAATCTCCAGCTCCTGTAATAAACATGCTAGATCAGTATGAGATATTTCAACCATGACCTATGGATGGACAGACATGTGGATAAACAGATGGATATGCAAGCTCTCTGCAGGACAATTTTCCAGATTTTCCACAGAGCTTTGTTGTTGAGACATTCTAGTTCTTTCAAGGCAATAGGAAGTGGGTAACAGAACTGGTCTCGGTGCAGTGGTCTCAACTGATTTTATGCATTTCTGACCAAGGCTTTAACTGCCTCAAAGGTTAACTGCTGCTCGGCTTTCTCCAGGAGCTCTTAGCCCTTCCTCAGAAGGAGATAAGTTAAGGAAAACTAAACAAATGGCTCATGAAGCTTCTCGAGCATCTGTGTCCTGCCTGTGGATATCTAACAAGAACAATTAAATTGTTGTGGCTGGCTGCATAGCTCTTCTCCCAGTCACAGTTCAGACAGCGTGAGCAGAGCTCCCAATTAGTTACCACCACTACTGCAGATAGTGGAAGAGAGAAAAAAACCTCTTACACCAGAACTGATTTATTTTAGAATGGTCTAAATTTGTTTCCTGCACTAGGGGTCTCAGTACATTTTTTCTTCCACGTCTTTTCCTGTATAACCTTTTACAGTAGAGAGCAGTCTTTGTATTTATTCCTAGTACTTTATCTGGTCTTAATGAACAGACAATAATAATAAATAATCCCAATGTGGTGTGCTGTGATAGCTTACAAGTAGTGCAATGGATTCTGTTTTCTACTGTACTCGAAAGAGACTACATTAATGCTTCAAAAACAGTGAGGTAAATAAAATATGACAGTATAAAGAAAATAGAATCAAGTTAGTAGAAGAGCTTGTGTTTATTCAGAGCAGAGTTTAATGTGCTAACTATTAAACATTAACATATTATCTTGATGGATTTTGTACCTGAACGCTCTAGATTTAAAATTAGTTTTTTTGTGATACATGTTTCATTCATTAACAGTGGGCAAAATTGATTGCATTTTTCAACCTCTTAACATTGTTGTCCTTGTTGTCACAGTGAAAATCACAAATTCTGTTTTAAAGCTGAAAATGAATGGTAGTTGGCATTAGAAGTGGGTATTTACAGATGTTATTAATTGAGAAAATAGTATGCTGTTCTCAGTAAGAGAAGACTGCATTTGTACTCTGGAGAGCTGAAAGCTCTCTAGAAGGAGAGAGGAACCTTAGCAGCTTTTGAGACATGACGCACATGGCCTATGAAGAATGTTCTCTCTCACATACTTTTTTTAAATTAATATATACCTCAAATAGTATTTAGTGAGTTGCGAATTACTTTTACCAAATTTCACAATCTTGGTGGCCAAAACAGGGATCTAATCCTTATGTGCTTTTAAAATCTCTTGCATTGAAAGTACTGGAAGTAGGTGATGTCCAAGGCAGAACATGGAACAGAGAGCACCCAAAAACTTCTCCTGTCCCTGTCCTCCATCTCATCCTGCCAGTGGCTGCGCCACAGCAGCGTCCATGGATTTCAGCAGGTGCTTCAACTCTCATTGTCTCTCAGGACAAGGAATGTCATTTCATGTTAAAAAAAAAAAAGAGAGAGAGAGAGAAATTATTTCCTATTTTCAAAAGCACATTAGCCCATATTTCCAACCTGATCTGCTTTGTATCCATATGGGGGAAATCAGAAGCAGCACTTTTAAGCTGTGAGAGAAAACTAAAGGCAGGATTGGCCTGTAATTATCTTGTTCATTCCAAAATGATCTGAATTTTAAAAACATATTATTGAGTCTTCTCTTTCAGGAATCAAAATACAAGCTATTAAAACAGATGTTCCATTAAAGCAGTATGTGGTAAATTTTGGCATGTAATTGAAAGTGGACAAAGTACACAATGAGCAATTTCTCTCCTTAATTTTGAAATTGGCATGTTGGAGATTTTCAAAATGTTTCTCTTGTTTCAATAGGAAAACATAGGATCTTTTGTGATTGAAACATCATCTTTTAATTCCCTGGGATTCTAACTTAAACCAGTAGTAGTGGAGTAGTAACAGTATTTATCATGTGTACATTTCAATAGCACCAAATTAAGTCTAGCAATGACTAACTCATGTACCAAGATTTGTTGGGCTTTTTTTTTTTTCCTAATACATGTTTTTTTCTGTATCTTGCTACTATATGAAATACAAATATAAAGGCAAAAATTGACCTACGTAAGCGAGTGAAAAAACCAGCACAGCATGCTAAGATGTGTAGCCCAAATTTGCACCACTTCACATTGTGCAAAACCACTTCCCAGCATCAGGGTGCCTTATAAATGTGCGTGTGACAGCTCGCTAGCAAAGTGCATTCCCAATTTGGCTGGACCGTGGAAATTCTGTGGGATGTTGGTTCATTGTGAGCTTGTCCAGCTGGCAAAGTAATTAATGTCAGTCTCCCAGAAGAGTTATAAATATCCTCATACACCACACTCCTTCTTTTGCTTCTTCAGCCTTTCTGTGCACAGCGGTTTTGACCAGGGCATGATCACTAGGTTAGCTTGAACTGTGTCTAGCTTAGGTTCATCATTTAAGCAGCCAACTCCTGCTTGATGTGGCAGCTCATTATTGAGGGATATCTCTTAGCACATTCCTTTGTGGCTCAGCAGGGCTTGCGGGCAGATGGTAACTGCTTTGGTGCTTGAAAGTGCTTGTAAAATCATGTAACAAAAATGTTTAAGCCAGTATCCTAGCCCAGCCAGGTCAGATTTCTGCCAGGACTCTTCAACTCTGGTTCCTGAACCAGCGATCTGATGAACCTTGTCAGAAAAAGACTTTACTGGGCTTACAAAATACTGAGAAAAATAGTTATTGCACCAAATCAGACTGTTTATTCTTCTGAGATGAGACGACAGCAGCCCAGTGCCCGTAGGGCTGGAGGGGGTGAAACAGTTGTGATCATGTTTTTGCAGCAGCATGGCAAATTTAGGGCAGCAATGGCCTTTTATCTGCATTCAACTGGTCTCTGGTCCATATAAACAGCAATAGGCAACACATATGGCAATTCTGTGTCACCGAGGGACTGGGTATTGGCTGGCAACTCCAGAGCTGCACCCCAAGCTCAGCCTGGATTTAAACTGGAAATTTCGGTTGGAAGCATCCAGACAATTCTTCCTATGATCTGTTTGAAAGCTCAGGCCACCTCTCTTATTTGAAGGGGAAATGCTGAGTGCTGCTCAGATCCCTGCAAAAAGCAGCTGGAGGTATCAGAGCAAGGGATGCAAGCCATGACAGCCCCCACAAGTCAGCCCCAGTGCTACTTGCCCTGTAGAGCCTATGGGAGCATGCTCTCTTCCCCCATGCTGTGGCAGGAGCTCAGACACTCACCACACTGCACAGCCTCCTGCTCTCCAGGCCATGTCCAGGAGAAAGAGGCATTTCAATGCCAGGGTTTAATTACCCACGTTATTTATTGGCTCCTACCCCTTTTCATTGACTGTGTGTCAGAGCCGCATTTACCAGCAGTGGAGTGATAGGGAACAGAGAGCACCCAGGGACTTAAGGCACTTGCATTGTTTCCCTAAAATATCCTCAATCACACTGATATTATCTCTCTAAGGGATGGGAGAACATACATAAAAATCAGGAATAAACATTTAGACACATGGTGTCAAGGAGAGCTGTGCCATCATCTGCATTAGAGCATGATTAAACTGCAGCTGACCAGCTGCTAACAAGGGGAAAATATGCCCATGTGTTAATACATTTTCATGATGTCCAGATGTGTACATTTACAAGCATGGGAAAGGGCATGTTTGCAAGTCTGAATTACAGTGTGTCTTTTCTAAATTGACAGAAGTGCCATCCTTGGTGTTACTCTTTAATACGGAGCAGATCCTGTCACCTGCCAGAGGGATATCTATTCTCCCTGTTCCACTGGATATTTGAAATATTTATGTGGGGTAATAAGTAGGGAAGAGCTTTGTCATTAAATAAAACACGTCATAATAAACAGAAACGTTCCAGCCTAAAGATATGCATTCAAGGGGAAAGCCTAGATTTCCTATGAGTGCAGTTTTACAGAGCAGCTGAAGTCAAGTTATTATAAATACGAATGAATGAAGAGTTTATCTCGCTAAACTAGAGACTACTCTGAGTACTGCAAGCCAGTCAGCATCCAATAGACTTTGGAAGCATGACCCTCCTGCTGGAACGAAATCAGATTCTTTTGTATCCCCAAATTAAGATTATTTTATTTGTATGTAAACTGCTGTATCACTTCTATGGTGCTAAAGAGGAAGGTGAGTCATTAGGAGAAACAGGAATGCGGGGAAGGCTTGGCAGTCCAGGGTGGAGAGGATCGGTATAATAAAAATAATGAATATGGGGGAAGAGATGGGAGGAGAAAGCAGAAGAGATGAACAGAACACTGATATTACCTGCAACTGACAGCCTCACAAAAACTAATTGGGGCTGAAGAAGCTGATGAATTACATACGAGAAAATTGAGTTTGAATATTAATAGGCACTGCCCCATTATTGTCCAATTCTAAATCCATTAAATTTGAAGGGGCTTAAAGTTTGGGAAAATACATTTTCTCACTCCAGTGACAAGATGAATAATGCAAGGATTAGGAGATACGACTTTTCGCCAGTGTCCAAACCCACGTGTGAAGTACAGCTAGCACACAGCTAATAGGCAACTAAAGTCCCACTTAAATCTTTCCTATTTTGAAGGTTTTCACGAAACGTAGACAGTGAACCAGGCTCTATTTCTGCATAAGCTTGGCAGTGTCACTCAGCATTTGCCTTCAGACAAGGAAAAAGTGTTGAACAGTGTATTTTCCATTTGTTTTGCTATTATGGTGATTTAAGAATAATGATTTGCTATTGCTTGGCTCTGTGATTCATTTGATTGTTTTCCCTCATTTCAAGTTGAATCTTAGTTTTTAATCCGTTTGCTGTCATCTCTCATTTCACCAAAGCACACATATTGCTCATATTACCATGCAAATAGGTGCTATATAAATGAAACGTATTATTACGATCATTAAACTAAAAGAACCCAGAGCCATTCATTACACAGTGTGCTCTTGGCCAGCCCCTCTACATGCACACACAGCCTGGCTCTCCATCTCTGCTGGCAGAGCTCTGGATGGTGGTGTTCCTGAGCATCCTCACAAAGAAGTGTTGTGGCAGAAGGGCACGTGGAAGTAATGCAGCAGATTAATCACCAGTGAATTACAATGTGCTGACCTCAGGCAGGAACCAGGGATGAGAACACAGCCATGAGCTTCAAGCTCATCAGTCTTTGGAGAAATGGAGGGAGCAATGGGACAGACAGCATCACTCAAAGCTGAGTTAGAGCAAGGCCACCTGACACATTCCTTCTAGAACGACATCTGCTCAAAGGCAAGAAACCTCCAGGAACAATTTTTGGAGTGCTCTCCGCATGTGTGCGCTAGGGGGAGGGCAGGCAGAAGAGATCTTATTCACATTCTGTTAATTAAGTTCCTCTATAAAAGAGAATATATATTGTGCGAAATTAGGTCAGAAAAATTAAGTGTATCTGCTGAATGCCTGAGTAGGAGGGGCTGATCTATGCTTTGCAAAGACACAGGCATTCATTGTCTTCTCCAGAGTCCTGAGAGAGGTGAGTCCACCAACACTGGCCATGTCTGTTGTTGTTGCTTTCTGTGCTGGCATGCTACATGCCAATTGGCTCTAGATTTCCTAATGACTTGTGCTCATACTGCAAGCCAGCTGGTTCCTGAGGGGGAAAAATATAATCAGCCTGTTGAAGCTGCATGCTCCCTTCTCTTCTTAAAGGTTTCCTTATCGCTTGCTCCAGCCAGCAGCTGAGATACAGTGTGATCAGCTTCCCCTGGGCTTCTGGTGAGCAGCCTGCGGAATTTTGGATGTAGGGTCCACAGCAGGGAAGTTGCACAGACATCGCAGGGATGGCCTGGGGATCGCCCAGAGAAACTGTGGATGCCCCTTCCCTCGAGGAGTTCAAGGCCAGGTTGGATGGGGCTCTGGGCAGCCTGAGCTGTGGCAGCCCTGCCCATGGTGGGTGGGTTAGAACTGCATGATATTTAAAGTCCCTTGCACCCCATGCCATTCTATGACTCTAAGACTCAGTAGCTCCTCATGACAGATAAATGTTATTTTAAAGGTTAGGGCAGGAAATGCAGCGGGCTTCAAAGCCCAGCATATATTGTACCGGGCAGGTGAGTATGGAAAAGAGGACAGCTACTTAAGGAGACTTCATAGGGCAGCGGCAGGAGATCTGTTGACTCTGAATGAGGAATTAGGAATTAGAACAGGAGTTTCCTGAGTAAGCTGGAAAGAAGCAGTGTTTGAGAGCAAAGAGGACTAGAGGCTATGACATATATGTATGTTGCCCTTTAACACAAATCCACACAGACCCACATGATACCATAGCATCCCCTGTCCTTGTAGGAATCTAACAGCCAGTGGTGGCATGATCAGACTGGGAAAATCTCCCCCCATTACCTGCTCTGTCCCCCTGCTCTGCTGTCACACACATCAGCAGCAGTGGCAGCGTGCAGGACAGCACACCTGAGAGCACCAGAGGCTGATGAGAAGTGTAAAGGGCACAGGAAGTTGGAGAGCTGCCACGTGGGCCAGAAGGCAGCTCAGCCTGGCTCAGAATTGTTCGCAGCTCAGTGAACGCAGCTGGCAGAGTGCACTTGAGTGTGCACCGAGTTCTGCATGGTGAGGCCAGGAAATGGTGCTCTCCCAGATGAGGCTGGGGGAAGCTAATGCTGGAGAATGGATGGAAAACAACTCCTTTGAGGCCTCCTCTCCATATCAGTACTATCCATCCTAACACGGATAAGAAATTACCAATGTTGAGATCTATCTTGGAGAAAAAGTTGTGCCTTCCTTCATAGTATCAAGAAAGCCTTTTGTCATCATAAGATGAATACCAGATTATTTTTTTTATTTATTTGTGAGGTTTTGGTGAGGTTTCTCAATGCAACTAGGCAGCATTTGATGCAAGGGAAAGACTATCAGAGAACAAAAAAATGGCTCCGGATGTATTTCTGATCTAGAAAAGCTGCTGCTGACTCATTGCCAACTCATGCAGAATGGAATCACAGAAATTTACAAATAATTTTAACAGTACGCCTGTTAAGTACAAAGGCTGAAGGAGCTTTACAAGCCCACTGAAGTGCAGTGTAGAGTGTCGAGGGACAGATCAGCGCAGCTCCCAGCTGCTGAGCACACTCGAGGCATTTGTGCTGGCCTGAAATAACACTTCGTGTCTCAGGAACACCATCTTACCCTCCACAGGAATTGTCTGGGGACTCACATTCTGAGGTTTGACTGCTTTTTAGAAATTCATCCGATTCTTTTCATTTTGGTTATCAGAGAATCGAAACAAACAACTCTGACAAGATGTACCAAGCTAGTCTTAGAAACAGCCTGCAAGAATGAAAGCTGAACAAGGAGGATTTGTGGTAAAAGGGCAGAAGTCATCTGATATAGGCAGTGCAAACACCCCTGCAAATGGCTCTGACGGTTCAGAGCTGAATCTACAGAGCCAAGTGGCTCTGCCTGGATGGATCCACAAGGACTGTGAGGGCCAGACTGAACAATGAGGAGGGAGAGCCTTCCTCTGTCCCTTCACATTCAATCCTGTCTCTTAATGGAAGTGGTTACTTGAGAGCATGCTAAGTCCCACCCGAAGTTTCCATTCACGAGCTATCCTTAAGGCGGTCAAAGATCTTTTCTTATCAAAGAATGAAAAAGAAAAAGGGGAAAATGTATCTAAAGCTGTTAAAATTTTACTCACCATTGAATCTTAAATATAGCTTCATAACCTCATGCCCCAACTTCATGACTGCTTCCTCAAAAGCAAGGAGATCCATCGTGAAATACATGCTCAGAAAAAATCCCTCAGCAGAACTTGAGCTCCTTCAGCTGAGCAGTTCAGACTATCTTTATCTCAGTAACATCTGGTAGATGTGTTTGTTGCTCAGCTTCCGCTTGTAAATATGTTTACTCTTAGCGCCATGTGTTAATATGATTTTCCTTGTAGGGGTGGATTATTTTCCACTGTGTTGTACAGTTAATATCCCATTTGTAAAAACATAACTTAGCAGCTTTGTCAAAATATATACAGTCATTAAAAGCTAATAGGTAACTGGTATTAAATTGTGTTGAGTGTTAGTATGTTTGAGATTCAAGTAATCCTGGATAGGGGCTATTGATTTTGCCAAGCCAGGAGCGCTCAGCACTTCTGAGACACAGGTCCATAAATTGCTGTTATTTTTATAACTGTCCAAACTAACAGTCTTTATGCCTAAGAATTGTCCTTTCCTCTCCTGGATGTAACAATCACATTCTCATTGTGTCTCTTACACTCCCTGCATATTTGTTTGCCAAAAGTCTATACACTCACTAGCATACCAAAATTTAAAAGCAGCATGACAACACCCATGTCTGTACATACTCCATCTTCATCACGTTAGAGGCTGAAACTTCCTGGCAATTGGAGAAAAAGCCATTAATACTCATAGCCTTTTATTAGCCAAGCCAGATTTGTTTTAATTTTCCCTTGGCAATAGCAGGAGCTCCTTCGGACTGCACAAGCAGCTACACCTGAGCAGAATCCAAACAGACACTGTGCTTCCACCGCAGAAATGTTAACTCCTGCGCTGTGCCTGGGAAAGAGCCTCAGATAATTCAGTCTCAGGGAAGTCCTCCTGACAGTCACTCAGCTAGAAACAACGTAACTTTGTAACTTGCAATGCAACCACTATTTTAACCAAGGTGTAACCACAAGCGTGAAGGTGCACCCAACCTGCACCATGCACCACTGCTAGAAAGCTCCCAGAGCCCAACATAGGGAGACTCTTTTGCTTTATGGTCCTCAAGAGAGAAGGCACAACACCAATCCGAATGCAAAATTTACTGGTGGTATGAATTCAGCTGTTTGCAGAGAAAACAGTAATATCATGAGGTAATGATCAGGTTCTGATTAAGCCTATTTCTAGCCCATTGATTTTTGCAGTCTGAAGCACCTTCCCCCAAACGTGATTTTTTTGGACCTTGTTCCATAGCTCTGAGTTTGCAGAGGGAGAGTCCCTCCCTCTTGGAATCAATTCACCTGAAGTGCTGGGTGATGGCAGCTGCTCTGGCATTTCCCCTCGGCCGGTAATGTCAGAGCTACCTTTAACCAGTCCTTCCCTCCCCACCAAAACCACCTTTATTTGTATTCTGTTCTCATCTCAATTCTAGCAAGAACCGTGCCTTGCAAACCAAACAGGGGGAAATGCAGTATGTGCTCCATTTGGTTTTATTTTCTTCATCATCTAAACAGGCATCTTAAAAACTTTGAGCACTGAGCTGCATTTGAAACCGGTACATTAGAGTTCATTTATGCTTACAAAAATGTGTACGTTGAAGTTGTTGTCTCCAAGAGTACCCGATTGTTATTCTTTGACAGAGCTGTCACTAGAGGGTCCATTTTGAGCTCATTCATTGAAAGCTGTGGCAGCACAGCAGCCAGCCTTAGCTCTACTCTGCCTCCAGAGATTTGCAGAAAAGCTATTTGGAGTTTATCACACAGTTTTGCAAAACACTACAGCCTCTGCAAGCTGTCATAAAGAGGCTCTCATTCCAACTGGGCTCGTTTAAAAGAAGTATTTTATTACTCTCTGGTCTGTTTTACCCCGCACCTTGCAAAATCTTTCTTCACCTCTTTTACTCTGCTGATAGACTAAAAAAACTTGAAATAGGACTCCAAAAAATGCTTGGTATTTTTAATGCATTTATAATTCAAGAGCTATCCAGCTCCACTCAGAGCAGAGTTCTTTGATGCTTAACTGTTCCACAATCCGAGCCTGCACAGCCAGGGTCTGCTACACAGAGCATTGCTCTTGCTTCCCCAGGCTGCTCTGCAGCGGCTCGTTCCCACCGGTGGACATTCTGCGTGCTGACAATCAGCCCCTTCCATTGGCTCTTTTTGTGACAGATTTTTAAACCTGAGCATCCAAAGCTGCTGGTGTCTGAAAAGCAGAGTGCTTTCCATCTTGCAGGGTGGATATCAGAGTGAACACAAACATCCGTGAGGCTGATTTTCCCCTGCACTTTGCTCTGTGTGCTGGCTCTGTCCCCAGCCTGCTTTCCAGGGGACGGCTGCTGGCTCCATGCCAACTTCCCTAGGCATGGCGTGACAAGGGACAGGAGGGTGTTCCAGCTGGGAAGTTCAGATTTGGGATTGTATCGGACTTGTCATCTTAAATACATTAAACTGCAGCAATAAAAGCCTAGGTGTGTCTTTCCCACCAAGCACTGACGATGCAAGCAGCAGCACTGCCAAATGGTGCAGTTTTATCTCAGGATGTACAAACATTTGGTGCTTTTCCCAAAGTCTCAGCTTGGTGAGTCAAGCGATTATGAGCATATACCAGCTTCCAAGGTGTGGAGCCAAGTCCTTGCCACCACTCTGCCCTTTCCAGCAGAGCTGAAATATTGTGGGAAGAGAAGCAAAACGCACCGTTTGACACAAGCACATCACTGAGGCCATGAGCCACATCCACCTGGAGCAAAGGCCAGAGAAGAAAGAGCCAGATCCATGCAGCTGCCTGCCTCCGGGATGCTCTGGTTTGGGTTCCATGTTTGATGCAAACCCATTCCACATCAGGGAGAGGAAAGCAACTGCCACCTCAAAGCTGCTGTGTCACACATGGCTGCCTGCAGGCTGAGCTTTCCTCCCATCCAGTGTTCTGCTCTCCTTGCCCCATCACCCCCAGAGGCAGAACGTCCTCTCATTCTTTTCTGGTTGAGAAGGAGTTGGTTCCTCCAAGAACATTGACTTCAGCAGTCACAAGAATTCCATGGGAGGCTTAAAAATCTTGGCTTGTGTGGGATTTTTGTACCTGTTCAGTGACAGTAATTTGGGTGATTTTTCTCTTCCACTTCTTGTTCATCCATATTAATGGGTGACAGCCTGTAACAAATGCATCCAAACCTGACAAATATTACTTATTAACATAAATTCCAGTTCCTTAGTGAGGTAATTAATACCAAATTTTTCTATCATTTCATAAGATCACAATTCCAAGAACTATTTTTTAACCCATGTAAACAATGATTTACAGTTTTGCTGATAAGTGATTGAAAACAGCTTCTCGTTTTATGCAGAGGGGACTATCTGTAAAACAGTTCCCCCACAATCTGGTCTATGCAAAGCAGAGACAAACCACATTCATTTACCTTTCCTCAAAGGCTTTCTCATACTTAAAATAGCTGCTGCTTTTAAAAAAGCCTATCTGTGTCTCTGACGTAGCAGTAATTTCACATTGGCACTAAGTTTTCTAGGTGACCGTGCCAAGAGTCACATCCCTCTATTGGTCAGAAGAGTATGACTTCCTTCCCCAGCCCAGCTTTATCTTTCTCACTTTGGAATTCTCTTCCCCCAGGTACACTTCATCTTCAGGTAGCTCAGAGACCCTAACAAATAGGTCTCACCTTCCAAATAGCTTTTATGGAAAATAATAATAACAATAATAAAGAGTATCACCTCTGATTTAGAAAACATTTCCTATTCTCCTAAGACTAACCTTTCATCCCTCATTCTGAAACCTATCAGAAGATTAGCACTTTGCGATAAACGTTAGCCAGAAGGTTTGTGTTTCCTCTCCTTCCCCTGCTGTTAGCGATTTCTGCCTAATGAGAAGCACAACCGATGGTACTGCTTGCGGTGCCGAGAGGAAGGGAGTGCTTTGCCAGCCATACGGATGTGTTTCTGGGTCTCGCTCCTCCTGCCCTCACTGCAGCTGGCAGCCATGCAGCACGGTGGCACGCATCATCTCTCAGAGCCAGCTGCCACTAGCCCTGTGGGTGCAGATGCCTTCTGTGGGGACACAGGACCCATGGGGGTGCTCTCCTGAAATCCACCATGCCCACAGCGGTTGGGTGGTGGGGACAAACCCCGGGGCTCCTGGGGACACTGCCTTAGAATGAGGCCACTCACAGGGATTTCGGCCGCAGGGAAGAGCTCATCACACAGCAGCTGCTCATCACTGCCCGCTCTGGACTGAGGCCAAGGGCAGTGACGTAGGGATGAAAGCCTCTGTATCCCAAAAGCAATCCTCTAAGCCATCCAAGTCCCTCTAAAGCTCTGGTGAGCTGAAGACTTTGAGGCTATCTATATAGCAAGGGTAGGATGAAAACATTCGTATAGGGAATCCTAGTGCTCACTTTATTTTTAATGTGCAGTACAGCTCCTTCCCCAGCATTTCTTTTTACCCTTTTAGAGACCCATGCCTACTGTATAGAAGGGGAATGTGGCTGGATTTGTGTCTAAAAATATTCCACTTTCATCACCTCTTCCATTACCTCAACCAGCAGGGTCTTATCAATATACACTGATGTATTAGTGGTCTTTTCCAACCTTAATGATTATATAATTCTATGATACTATGATTTACATGTTTGTGCTGTTTGATTTTATGGACTTACATTAAATTTAATTCTTACACTGAAAAAAGCAGTAAAATAAAGCTGCAAAACATCCATAAACGCCAGGGTCAGATTTTTCAACTGAACTGCTAAGTCTGCTTTGGCCTTTTTGGTAAATTACGATTTATCCTTCTTCTAAAATCACTGGAGGAGTAATATTATATGTTTGTTTCTTTTACCTCTTTGTAACAATCAGTATTTTACAGTCGTACAGGAGGCCAAAGTCCACAAAGCACTTACAGACGTTCAAAAAAATCCTCAGGGGAGCTCACAAATGAATCTGATCAAAATCTGGTTTAAGAGGCAGAACGTATTCAGATCTGGCTGATTATTTAATCAGCCTGTTCTGGGAGATGGCCCAGGCATTCTGTGTCATTTCCCAATGAGGATCTCTGTGCTACACTACTGCAGGGTCAGTGAATTGCTAACTATAACTATTGAG